TTTTTGAGATGGAGTCTTGCTCTGTCACCCAGGCTGGAGTGCGGTGGCACAATCTCAGCTCACTGCAAACTCCACCTGCCGGGTTCAAGTGATTCTCATGTCTCAGCCTCCTGAGAAGCTGGGATTACAGGCGTGTGCCACCACACCCAGCTCATTTTTGTATTTTTAGTAGAGACAGGGTTTCGCCATGTTGCCCAGGCTGGTCTCAAACTGGTGAGCTCAAGCAATCGGCCCACCTCAATCTCCCAAAGTGCTGGGATTACATGCGTGAGCCACTGTGACTGGCCAGGTTTCTGTGTCTTTTGACACAATCTCAGCAGTCTTTGATAGATTCTTTGCTGTTTAGCATAGCAAGATAACCAAGCATATTTTGTGTAGTTCCTGTATTAAATCTGGTACCAGACATTGCTCTAAAGAGCCTTGTTCATTTTAGCTGAACATAAGAATCCTAATCGAAAGCCTAGAGGTATAAAATGCTACTGGATTCTAGGCCTTCTTGGTAAACAGAACTAGGAAATAAATTTTTAAAATATAAAAATAAATCAAGTTCACACTGATACTTTCAATTCAAATTAAGGATCACAAGAGTTTTACTTACTATTTTAAATTTATATCTATCAGTCTGGGCGCAGTGACTGATGCCTGTAATCCTGCACTTTGGGAGGCGGAGGCCAGTGGACCACCTGAGGTCAGGAGTTTGAGACCAGCCTGCCCAACATGGTGAAACCCTGTCTCTACTAAAAATACAAAAATTAGCTGGGCGTGGTGATGGGCACCTATAATCCCAGCTACTTGGGAGGCTGAGGCATGAGAATCGCCTGAACCTGGAAGGCAGAGGTTGCAGTGAGCTGACATCATGCCACTGCACTCCAGCCTGCACTCCAGCCTGCACTACAGAGCCAGACTCCGTCTAAAGAAAAAAAATAATTGTACCTATCACTCTTACACTGAAAATATTGGTTTCTATTGACATTAACTTACTTATTTGTTCTAATATATAATAATTGTAAAATGATATTTAATATTATTACTAATAGTAAGTTTACTGAATATAGTTTAAGATGTTGTTGCGGTTCATTTTGTCCTTGAGATATATCCCACTAGGACTGTGTGGTCAAAACACTGTCTTTCAAAGTCATTTGAAATCATTTTTCCCCATGTGACTGTGCCTCCAAGTTGGTAAGATTCAGTTTATTTGTTTCAGTATGGGATATTTAGGGGTTACTTAACTTTTTTTTGGTCTCTTAAAATTATATAAAATATTTTATGTTCTTACAAAGTGAAAATTATGAAACAGGGCACATTTAAGGAGATCCAGCCATCATGCCTGCTTCCTCCCCTCTTTTTACTACTTCCCCTGACAGAGAATTATTCTTATTGGTTTCTTTCCATTGTTTTCTTTTGTTAAACACAAGCAAATCTGCGCATATAAAAATGTACTTTTAACATTGTAGTAGACTGTGCATATTTTCACTTGTGGGGTTATTATTATTATTAATTTCAAAATAATGTTTTAATAATTAACTTAAATTCCCTACTGCATAATGTTTTAACTAACATTCTGAGGCCCTGCCTGACACTTCCTGTCTCTTTTCCTGGCTTGCTTTTTTCTCCATAGCTTCTCACTGTGTCATAAAAATATACACACACACACACACACACACACACATATATATA